AAGGCTCGAGTGCCAAAGTAAGCCAACAGATCATATGATAATATTACTGGACTTTGACATTCCGAAGTGGTTGTAAAAGAACGCCAATCATGGAAGAATGCACAGCTATTGCAAGCGGACAACGAATCATTGTGGTACACAGTAACACAGATGAGACGGTTCAAACGGAAGGAGTGGGTCTGGCAATAATTGGACCAAACTTAAACGTTTAAACTCTCCTTAGGAATGGGTAAAACAGCCACAAAATTTCAAGCTGAGGTACTGGCCATAAACATCTGTGCACAACAGCATCTTAAAAGAGGACTTTTGAGAGAGCGGCTCTAAAGGTTCTAGGAGCCATCAAGTACAATTCTCAGCTAGTTTGGGAGGGTAAAAAGATCCCTAAACAACTGGCTGGGACAGCTGGGAGCAATAAGGTAACCTTGATGTGGGTACCAGGACACCGGGCGTAGAGGGCAACGAGGAGGAGGACCGTCTCACAAAGCAAGGCGCTTCAACACCTTTTTAAGGCCTATAGCCTTTTTGTGGACTAATGAAAAGCCACGTCTTCGAAGAAATGAACAGATGAAGGTTCATATCCATCTCAGCAAAGAGATCTGAACAACTTGTTGACATGAACAGAAGAGACATTAGAATAATCGTTGGTCTGCTCACTGAGCATTGCCTGGTGAAATATCACCTGAAACAATAGGCAAATCAGACATCGACCACTGCAGATCTTGCGAACAAGCAACAAAAACTTCAGAACACTTAATCGAACACTTCTGTAAATGCCCTGCTCACTTCTGCGAAAGGCTGAAATACCTTGAAGGGGTTCTGCTAACACCAAAATAGTAAACATATATCTGCTCTGGAGCAGATGCATTTTGCAAGGAGTAAATGCTTCCAATTTGAAGCAAATACTCTTTTTATTCATAAGAAAAAGAGTATTTGCTTTTTCGTGGAGCATTTGCTTCCGACTTTTAAGTAAAAGGTTTTGCTTGAACTTTTATTCATACTGCTTCATTTGCTTCAGATTTTAGGAGAAAAAGCAAATGCTCTTTTTTATTCATAGGGTAGATTGACGCTATACTCTACTCTAGACTCCTGATTATACTTAGAGCAAGCTTGGGACTGAATCATATTCCCAAAGCCTGGAAAGAAATCAGATTTGTTTTCATTCCCAAACCAAACCTGACAAGACAGGACAGGACAATCAGAGAGCTTTTGCTCTCAGACCCAGAAGCCTCATGTCATTTTTGTTGAAGGCTCTAGAAAATCTGCTTGATTCTGGCTCAAAACAGAGATGAGACAAAAAGACCCTCCTCCTACCACTCAAGATACAACTATCCTCCTATCGCGTCCTGTATCCCTCTACCGGTCACTCGGGATACTACACACAACCATCCTTCAACCGCGGTCTGTATCCCCCTACGGGTCACTCAAGATACAACCATCCCCCTACCAAGTCATACGCAATCATCCTCCTACAGCGTCCTGTATTCCCCTATCGCGCTCTCAAAATAGTAGGTAAAGTATCCCTCCATACCTGTAATTATCTCCCTAGTTTTGATCGCAAGCAATCCCCTCTCCGAGTCAAGTGGAATGCAGCTAAACCTGCAAAATCCAGCATCGGGATCACGAGGTTCGATTCGATTATATCGGGTCAAACGATAAGCGACTCGAGTGGATCGTTCACGAAACTCGATCGAGTTGGAAATCAAGTTTATTCGATTGTTGCTAACGTTACGTACTTCGAAAATGGAAAGCGATGTCGCTTTTCAGTTTTTTGGTTATGTAAATATAAGTCTTGTGTTTTGTAATTCAAATTTCAACAATAAACTTGGACTACACCAAAATTATACTCTTCACCAATGCATCTCTGATAAGAGCCAGTGATCTCTCAGCCTGTGGCATAAAACCTTAAAGTACATAGCACCATGTTTTCTAGAGTAACTGCCCTAGCAAGTATTCGCTCTGCACATGTGGTCGTATCAACTGCATAAGTTCTGTAGTTGTCTTTAATTAAGACGAAATAACTCTACAAAACTTGCCTCTGGAAGAGAAAAAGGTTCCTGCTTTTACCCACAAATTTGTCTTCGTCCTACAAGCTCAAGATTCTGGCAACGTCTATTTCTTTGTCTTTGCAGAATAGCGTGGATAACGTAACATTTTTATTTTGATGAGAATTTTACGATATATTGAAAAAATAGATGAAATTTAACCTAATTCGAGACCTTCGAACCTGTCGAGGCATTTCGATCGAAATATATCGATCAGTCGAAAGTCATGAACAAGTCCTTTCGATTTTCGATCAAAAATGACAAACCTTAAATGAATATCGAGCTTCGTGATCCCGCAGCAGAACAAAACCAGCAAAATCCAAAACAAAACCAGCAAAATTCAGCACAAAAGCAACATAAAACATAGGGGGATGGTTGTGTATAGTATCTTGGGGGTCGGGGGATAGAGGCCGCGATAAGGGGATACAGGGCGCGGTAGGGGGATTGTTGTATCTTGAGTGGTAGGGGAGTGTCTCTTTGTCTCGGCTCTGTTTTTAGCCAGAATACCTGAATACCAACCACCTACTCTCCACATTCGAGGTTGCGCATTGGCTACCAGTCAGTACGTATATGCTTATAAAGCATGAACCTCAACTGAAACAGAACTACATCACCTGGTCCAGCGGGTAGAAAGTACGTTGGAAAATAAGGAAGTTATGTTGGAAGCCTTTCTTGATATAGAGGGAGCGTTTGACAACACTTCCTTTGAGGCAATTATGAGAGCTCTACGCCGACAAAGTATTGCTGATACATGCTGCAGATGGATAGACTGCATGCTTCGAGGAAGAGTCATCCACTCCACGCTCCTAGGTAAAACAGTACCGACTCGGGTTGCAGAGAGATGTCTGCAGGGTGGAATGTTATCACCCCTGCTGTGGAATCTGGTGATGGACGAGCTGATAGAGCTACTAAAGAGCAAAAACCATCAAGTAGTGGGATATGCAGATGATTTGATCATAATATCCCAGGGAAAATTCAACCATACAGTAAGAGATCGTATGCAGCAGGCTCTTACAATAGTTTCTAGGTGGACAGAGGGTTTAAAATTAGTGCCACCAAATTGATAATCGTTTCCTTTATCAAAAGAAGGAAAATGGAGAGAATTGGACCTCTTCATCTTCAAGGAAACCCAGTTACGATGCCGGACGAAGTTAAATATTTTGGGGTAATCATAGACTCAAAATTAACTTGGAACAAACATCTGGATAAAGTATTTCAAAGGTCAGAACTGGCACTTATCAAAGCCACGAGAACTTTTGGGGGCTGCGGCCGGACATGATGCACTGGCTATATACAACAGTTGTAAAGCCAGCGATAACCTATGCATGTTTGGTATGGTAGACAAAGACACAACAAGACAGAGCCAGATTGAGACTTCGCAGGGTGCGGAGACTTGCCTGTCTGGGCATAACGGGGTGCATGAAAAGCACATCAACAGCAGCTATGGAAGTCCTACTAGACCTATTGCCGTTACACATTGTAATTCAGACGGAATCCAGGATGGGCCTCCACAGACAAGGGAACAACTTGAGCAAATTAACAGTCAGATCAGGCCACACACAAATAAGGAAAGACATAAATCAAACAGTATCTTCGACATGATAATTGACTATGCAGTTCCCAAATACTCACCCGACATATCGTTCCTCCAAGTCCTAATTAGTGAAAGGGAGGAATGGGGAAACCAACATGCACCCTTCCAATCTGAAAGGCCAGACCTGGTATTCGGAAGGGTCAAAGACTGAGAATGGCACAGGCGCAGGAATCTTACTTACTTACAGTCAAGAAAGAAGATGTGAGACTTTCTTTTCTCTAGGGTCACATACATCTGTTTTCCAGGCAGAGGTCTATGCAATACTCTAATTGAATCAACAATATGAGGGCCTACAAAGAGAGCAGACTCATTTTACTCGCAGATAGACAGGCAACTCCGGGAGCCTTGATTTGAAGAACCCTAAGGCAAACTCTGCACTGGAATGCCGAGAAGAACTCAACAACTTGGCGGACCAAAATAACGTCACATTGATGTGGGTGCCAGGACATAAAGGTATTCCGGGCAATGAAAAGGCTGATGAATTTGCACGCAGGAGGTCATCCACAGAATACTTTGGTCACGAACCCGTTCTCCAAGTACCCAAAAGCACAGTAAGAAACGAGCTGAAGGAATGGATCAAAGCAAAACATGCTCAATACTGAAAGAAAATACCCAAGCATGCACACGGGAAAATCTCCATACGTGAGACATGCAGCAAAAGAGCAAAAAAAATGCGACGACTAAGAAGGAATGAATGAACTCATAGGAGTAGCAACGTAGCAACCGGCTTTCTTACTGGGCATGCCCCAGTAAAGAAGAACCTGCAAAGAATGGGCTTATACAACGGAGACACAAGCTGCAGACTATGCGGAACAGAGACCGAAACCGAATATCAGAATGCAAGGTAGGTACTAACTCGCAGAAGACAATATATTTCCATTAAAAAAAAACCACAACATGATGTTCGACAAATAGCGAAGAGGTACCTAGCTACACATTTTCCCCATTAGAAGTTCGTGACCAGCACAAATTATGTCTGATTAAAACTTAATTTACTTGTGCTAATTTAATACCACTTTCAATTTCTAAGCATTTAGCGTTTAATTCAAATTTATTCACATCAGTTACGAATGTACAAATCAAAAATAAACAACAGTAAATAAAATGAGGCAAAAGCACAAAAAGTCTATTATTTTCTTTGTCAAGCTAGATGAACCACAAGCAAAGTTGAATAATGAAATAAAAGAATTAGAAATTAAAAAAACTATTTAAACCGCTTTCTTCTTAAGAAGTAATCGTCTTATATAAAATCAATTTAAAATATTTCATTTCCTATTTTATCGATGCAAAATAGTGGACCATAATAAATTGTATTTGTGACATAAATGCACGGTTAATTGTTAAAAATAATTATGATTACTTACATTTCAGCAATCCTTTTGCTGGCTTCTAGAGTTGCAAAACCAAATTGGGACAGTAAAATTGCTTTGGGATTTGTGGGGGCTCCAAAATTTGCTACCCTTGCCGCTGGATCATTTTCGTTCAAAGACAAACCTAAAATAATTCATTATTATGTTAATAAATAATTCAAATATTTCTTTTAAACGTTTACCTAATTTATATAGCAAAGGTTCTTTAATTTGAACCAGTTCTTCCAGTGCCCTTAATCCGTACTCTACCGCATCACTTATATCTCTTGGCTCAATTTTAAATCCACGTTGCTTTTTGCCGATGCTTCGTTGATTATCTTCCTTATTTCCTTTTAAAGCATCTTCATGTTCGGAGTAGCTTTCCTTTACCTTATTGGTCAACAATTTATTTGCAGTACCAGTACGTAAGTCGCTTTCGTTTTTTGTCTGTTTATTAAAATTAAAGTACGCTGAGGAATTTCCTTCGTCATATATTATTTTATTGTCTATTGTTTCATTTGGTTTGATTATGGTCTGGTCAATGGCTAATATATGTAGCATCAAAATGATAGAGACCAGCCAGATTTCAAATTTTTGATTGGAACTGAAATAAAAAAAAGGTGATATTTTAACATTGTTTTTCCATTTGACCAACTATTACACAATTTGCCGCATTTTTTCACAGCTGCATAAATATTGCAAAAGGTTTAATCTGACGCAACTAGGAATTACAAGACAATAAAGGAAAATTGAATATAACGTTCGATAAAATAGTTTCATCATCACTTGTCACCAGGAAATGGTATTATGTCTTCTGATGAGTTTTTTTAAAAGCAATATGAAATACTCTATTTTACTTTTACATGCTTATAGGCTTGAAGCAGATGGTATATGATGAAAGATGTCAGTTTTTTTGTGAACGTTCTTTCATTTGCATTTCATTGTAATAAAATCATTTCTAAGTGCAATAAAAGTATGACTGCAGCATCAGAAATAGGATCTTGTAATGTCTATAATAGATGCGCATATCTAGTAGGTTGGTAGGTTGCTTGTAAAGGCATAAAAATCAAATTTGAATAAGATAGAAAAAACGATTAAAATTATATCTAAGCAATATGGAAAATACTTATATTGAAATAATGTTAAACAAAATATGCGCTATTGTCTTGCATCAAAAACCGAATGGATACAAATTATTGCCCGGCAGGTAGGTACTATACATTATCAATTATTATTATCTTGAAGTACTTATTACTATTTTCATTTTCTCATATAAGCCCACCGGGCATAAAACAATTACGAAAAAACTCTACGAAATTGTGCAATTCCAGAATAACATTTTTGATAATTGAGTATCGACTGAGGAAAATGAAGCATCAAATGCTTTTGCCACCATACATGTACAAACTACTTCTGTGCAAATGCAAAGAGCACTTTCAAAATCATGCAGGACTGGGTCAAAGGGGCAAACATGAATGTCAGCCCTGAGAACGAAAGCAGAAAGCTAGAGGATCTAGTCCCGTAGTCCCTCCTTTTCCTCGGAAAGCAAATACAATTCGCCTGGGAAGTCAAATACCAAATACCTAGGGATTATCCCGGATGAATATGCTACCGACAAAGGTAAAATGGCGATAATGGCCACCAAAAGAACAGTGGGAGTGGGAAAGATATGAGGATTTCTACCACACAGTATATTGAATCTATAAACAGTAATGATAATACCCAGAATAACCTACGGATCAATAGTTTGGTGGCCAAAAGTCGAGCAGAGCAAAGCAACAATAGAGCTATCCAAACTTCAAAAGATTGGCTTGTCTCTGCATAATGGGTACAATGAGAAGCACTCCAACTGCTGCTATGAAAACCAGACTAAACCTTCCGCCACTATCATTATCAAAGCTGAGTGAAGAATAGAGGCTGTAACAGACACAATAATTGTGGCCAGAACTGGAATGCGAGACATCCAACATACCAGGATAACAAACATTGTTACAAACTCACTGCTTGAGATGAGTGACAATATGACTCCGAGAAATGAGAATAAACGTTCACAAACCGTTTCAAACCGGGATTAACTGGGAAAACAAAACAGAAAACTCACTAATCCAGAATGGAAAGCTAGTATGGTACACTGATGGCTCCAAAACCGACAATGGAACCGGTGCCGGAGTATATGGTTTATTCCCAAGAGTAAAATGGCTTTCTCCACTGAGAAAGCACATTATTTCAAACTGAAATACATGCAATAATAAAGATATGCCTGCGGGAAAATCTCAGAGGGGGGTATGTACACAAGGATTTCGATTTCACGACCTTCTCAGAATGCCAAGCAGCTATTGAAGCTCTGGAATGCCAACAGATAAACTCAAGGCAGTTTATGGGTCCTGAACCCGTTGTCTGAATGTCAAAAACCTTGATACGTGGCTGCTCAGAAAAGTGGATCCAAGAGGAACACAAAAACCACTGGTATCAAACACCGGACAACACCACAGTAAGCCAATGGTGAAATATCATACGGCAAGATTAGCATTTGAGATCTTAAAGCTCACGAGGAATCAGATCCAGAATTGTGACAGGACTCCTAACAGCTCACTGTACACTGAGAAAACACTTACACAAGATGAGTATTTACCCAACTGTAGACTGTGCGACGAAGACGAAGAATCAGCCTGTCACATATTATTCGGGTGCCCAGCACTCGCTCACTGGAGAACTCGAGACCTTCAAGAGGAGGGTCCCCTGAAGATGCTAATAAAGAGGCTACTGCACCTGGGGAAGGTGTCCAACTTATTTTAGCAGAAACTTACACAGCAAGGGATACAATAAGCTAACTAGCAGCAGTGTCAGGGAATCACTAAACCCTGCCTTGCTGCTGTATATCAAATCAATCAATCAATGAACGTAAATATAGAACAAAATTTCAAGATTGTCATTCCTGAGACAATTTGAATAAGAGACTTTATTGTTATTCTTGTCACAAAAAGGGCCTTCTAGAAAAAAATCGTACCTTCAAAATCGGACCATTTTTCACAGTTTATATTCAATTATAAATTGCACCTTAATTTAGTAGAGGGAAGTGCAAGATTCGGCAAGGGGATAATGATTATTGAATATAGTAATTGAATATATAACATAAAATTCACTTCTCATTATCCCTAATACACTTTACGCGGTGGTTTATAATATGAAGATAAGGTATTGCTTATTGATCATTGAACTTCACCTCTCTAGCTGGAGTTTAGCCAACATTCCAAAAAGATTGAATTTGGAAGAAAGGCCTATTTGATAATGGGAGTTCAGTGAAAAGACTACAAATTCAATTAGAGGTTGTATCCTTGTACCCTCAGACCAAGAAACTGTCTATTTCTACCCACGTCACTTTCAACAAAAATATTCAAGTACACACACAAAGTCGATGGTTTTTCCCAACTTTTAGGTACCTACATTTTTCTGTGGATTTTGTTCAAAAAAATGTGGGGGAAGATAAAAAATTCAATATAAATTGTTGCCCAGTGGAACTTATCCAAGAAGTAGCCAACTTGATGGAAGAACGACATGAATGCGATTTTTTTTAATGGCAGCAAATAGATGGAGTTGATTTATCGCGTCACGAAGACAAGCAGCTCCAAAACCGTGCTATAGAATTCATCTACCATTTCATGTCTCGAATCCCTTCAATCTGACATGCTCAACAATCTAGTGGAGCTACAAAATAATTGCCTTTATTTTGAAAAAACGCAAGATTATTCTATTCCAACTGTGTTCACATTCATAATTAAAGAGTTCGTAGAACACATATGAAGAAACATAGACGCACTAAACACATTGACGTTGAGGTTCGATATATGCAAGAGTTGAGTGAAAATGGATCCCTGGGTTCAGATTTCCTCACCAACTCAAGTTGAGATACTTGAGTAGGCTTTTAGAGAAAGAAAAGAAAATTTTGAGTGCTTGTGTGATCCTCTGAGGCGGTGGCTTCCGGAACACAGGGTGAAGGGCATTAGGGCATTGCAGCATTTAATTCAAACCGTTCAATCTTGGTGAACGAACCCGGATATGTTATACTACAAGCTGAAGATTCTTATTTGTCAACCAATTTTGGAGAGTTGAAAAGGAATCTTGGATATTTGTTATGCAAGCTTCTTCTGTTTTTTTACAGCAGATGACAGAAGTATCATCCGCAAAAAGCACCATCTCGCTATCTATATGTCGGCTACTTCATTTGTATATTATAAATGAGGTAGAGTAATGGACCTAGCATCGAACCCTGGGCCACACCTTTTGGTATTGTTGAGAAATCAAACGTCATTTTGTAGAGATTTATTTCTAGTCAATCAAAAATTGACATTTCAATTAATCACAAATTATTAGCAACCAGATAAACTTTTTGTACTCTAGCTATGAAACTGTTTTGTTTATTATTGTCATAACGATGAGTGTTTTTGTTTGTAACAAGTTGAAAGATAAAAATATAGTCGAGTCTTTTTCGAAATACAGTCCACTAAAATTCATTCTTTTCTAATACGCAAATTCTGCAAGCGCTGCAAGAAGCTTGATCCGGAAAAGCGGTATTGGTAATAAGATTCATATTAACAATATATTAATTGGTCCATCGTTGCCGAATCATTTATTGGTGTATCCTGTCCGACGACGAATTACAGTCAGGCGATAAGAGGGCCCTTTCGAGTTCAAGGGAGCAAGTTAATACTCCATGGTCATTTAAAAATATAGAAGCGAGCAAGGTAACAGGGTAACAGTAACATTTTTCCTCTATGATATTCGTTTGCAAGCCTTCGAAAACCGCAAATTGGACGTCACCCGACCACAAGGTGTCCAGGTCCAGGTCATTTCACGTGGATTATTTGTTCAAAACCAGTCATTGATTACAAGTGCATTGCCTACAAGAAGAAGGCGCATTATTTCATTGTTCAAGCAAGAATTACTGTGCAACAACGTATCTAGCAGGTAACCATTTTCCAGGATTTGCTCAGGTCAGGAAAGAAAGTCGCGTTTTCGGACTATATTAGACTGTGCAGGTTTGTAAACGCGGGATCACAGTTGTCGTATCATTAATTTACCCTTATTTTTATCAATATATTAGTTCTAAATTGAACAATTTTGGGTTATTTTTACAATCTTTAAAAAAATCAGAATTTTCTAGTTTCAAGTTAATAGAGTTAGAGACACGTTTAAGAGATTTGGAAAATAACTTGCTTCCAGATTACATCAACGTAGGTACAATTTGAACTCAAAGATATGGATTTTGAAAGGTTTAAAGAGGATGTTGGGAATTTATACTATCAAAATATTACTTTTGCGAAACAACTTATTTTTGATGCCAAAAGTTCACCTATTTGGTTTCAAAATTCTAATCAATTGTGTTAATGCTATGTCAAATGCTTCTAGTGGTTCTAATTCTGTCAAGCAATTTAATGTTAAACTTCCTGTCATTAAGTTGCCTAAGTTTTATGGGAGCTACGATAAATGGCTTGAATTCAAAGAATTAGTTATTTCTTTAATTCATAATGCTCAAAATCTCGATCCAGTTCAAAAGCTACATTATTTGCGTGCGTCTTTGGAGGGTTCTGCGGCTCAGTGTATTTA